ATGTTTATACTTATTTTTATATAGTTTTCTAACATTAGGAAGAAATAAAGACATTTAGTGGATATGTCAAGTTACATATATGTTGAATTGAAAAATTTTTGTTGGAGTAGGCCAGACTTATATCTACAAAGATAAACAACATAGCCTTGGTTTTCAGAGATAGTTGTCACTTCTGAATGTTTCATAAAATATGTATGGTGTACCTTGGGCTGGGATTGTAGCTCAGTTATAGAGCACTTGTCTAACATGCTTAAGTCTCTGTGTCTAATCCCTAGCATCACAAAACCCACAAACGAAAATGTGTACCTTAAATTTTATTTCATTTTTATACTATTATATTAGATTATGTTAGTATAAGGTAGAAAAATGTCTCATCACAGTTCTTGATTGTTGGTTTAATAAACACAGTCACTAGATAGTTTGTGTTTTCACTATTTAAAAATTGCATCTGAGGATTAGGTGCAACAATAATCTTACATGGATAAATTATAAAACATGAATTGTGTCATATAATTTAATTCATGTGATAGGTTAACTTGTAATCACTTTTCTCTTCCAGCTTTGAATCTTGGTTTGACATTACTAGTCTTTCTGAAACTGCTGAAGATATTATAGCTAAAGAAAGAGAACAGAATGTATTACATATGCTGCACCAGGTATTGACTGTTTCTTATTTTGCTTACTGTGTGCTCATAGAATAAATAAGGAACTCCAACAAGTACCTATCTTAACAGTTTGTAATACACAGCTGAAAAATGAGTCTCCCCAAATTTCATTGATTTCCCTGTTCTTTCCCTATTCCAAGGCAGGGGGTTGGCATGTCATTTTAGGTCATAAGTCAAGTGTTTACCTAAATTTTACCCTTTCACATATATATTCATTTTACCATTAATATCATTGTCAGTCAAAAAATGAAAGCATATGGTTTTTATGCAGTATTTACCAGTAATACGCAAAGCTCCCAAAGCTTCTCAGTTGTGGACTGATAATTTTATTCAAACACTTCATAATTTTTTTCTGATCTTAAAGTTATGCTCATGAGGAAAAACTGATTATGTTGTCTCATATGTCTTTCTAGATTCTTTTCTGTCTCTTCTGTGATTCTCCTAAGAATTACATGTGTTGGAATGATAATCTTAATTATTTATAATGATTATTAAAAATACTTTTTTTT